TTAAAACTAGAATACCAAAGGAATGTTGTATGGCATAATTTATTGTGATCGGAGGCAGTAAAATATGAAAAAATCAGGAAAAATAAACGCATACCTACCATGCTTCTGTGATAGTCAAATCCTTCCAAACCCTTGTGTAACATTGCATCGCTTGTAATTCTTTGATTCCCGTTGAATTCATCTTGTTTATGAATTTTGCACATCGCTTCCATAGTATACTTATGTTATTTGAGAAAATTATATGAAAATCCAATTGTTATCGTGTAAAAACAAGCAGTGAAGTATTCACACCATATATGAACTGGCCGCCATGTTATCACCCGATTCATTCGATCAATTTCTCATTCTAGCATCTGATTGGTTTTGAGCGCCCAATACGCGATTTTGTAAAAAACTCCTCTTAAATTGAATCTTTCGCCGACAAAGCTCCAACATCACACTTCGAATGAGCACGCGCTCAGAAAGACTTTACAGCGCGTCAAATATTAATGATATTCCGACTAATGAGGCGCCCCTCGGTCAGAACTCCCCACAGATCAGTCAAACTCGCAAAAAATCGCTTGTTTCCATGGCAATAAACGTCTAGACCAATCAGAACACTGGATTTTGACTTTTTGGACTACATTTCGGATTGGAATGTTAATTGCTAGCGCTGCATGATAATTGATACTGGACTATTATAAGGTGTGGCAGCATGATAAGAAATAACTGGACTATTGGTCGTATATTTAAGACTTAATTAAGTTTGAAATTTTTACGTTAGTCGCGTGACTGGCTTGACGACCCCTAGATCCGCCCCTGTTTCGGGCCAGTAATTGTTGCAGTAATCAACGCTTACATTTGGAATCCATCCCTCAATTTCTTCGTCTGTTATAGCCATAGAACATGATGTACGGTTGCAAACATACATTTTACATGTAATACAACGATATTTAGTGATTTTTCTCAATTAGAACATGGATTTTGCTTGTCCGCCATGTTGAAAATCACACTTCGTGGAGTCCACGAAGTGTGTTGTTCTTGATTTTAGCGTACAGTTGTGAATAACAATCTAATTTACATAATTTATTCATTTTATTAAATGCGACGGAAATTCGAGGTATAATTCATTGTCTCGTTTCGGTCGCATTACACGACTGATCATGTCGCAAAATGCGACAGTGTCGCATTTAATGCATCCCGTCCGATTTAATCAATTTATACGTCGAGTTTTCGTCGGATATCATAACTTGACTGAAATTTGATGTATTAAATTCGACTGAAATTCGACGTATAAACTAGGCCTTATATAGCATATAATAAAGAGGTTCAAAAATAAAATTAAAAAAAAAACATTAAGAAAATCTGTAAAAAATTCACTTTTAACAGAAATGTCTTTAAATTTCGTCTGCTAATCAATAAATATCTCTAATTTACAAAACGAAGTCAGATTTTGTGAAATATTGCCATTCCTGTGTAAAATAGGGTGATTCCGGTAGTGCCGTAAAATGACCTCTAAAAACCGAAAATGGCCTGGGAAAACCAATTTCGACATCTCTCTCCTTAAATATTTATCCATCGAAATAAAACTCTCACAACATTAATACTTCATATAGGCCTACATTCTGACAAAGTTTGAAGGATTTTGAATTTTCTCATTCTACACGTCTTACCTGACTATCACAGACAATTAACCGCTCAATATGTAAAGCAATCAGCTTTTGCGATTGTAATTAAATCAATTTACATACTTGCATATTCGTTCGTTCATTTTGTTCAGCACACGTTCTAAACTAACAAGCAAATCCGGTATCGTGTAATTGGGGCTTCATATTAATTTAATGTATATTTTGGGTTTTGTCTGTGCGGGGGAAATAAGTGTAATATGATTGAAAGGTTGTATAAATAGATCTATTTTTACAAAGGAAAACTTATCAATGAATTAATTAGCAAATATAGTTGTGAAAACTATTATATTTTCTACATGCTATTCAAATTTATTCATTAAATAGTACATCATAATTTAAAAAAATCCACCCGCAACCCGCAAAAAATATACCTGCAACGCGCAAAAAAATACACCAGCAACGCGCATTTTCTACCAAACCCAAACTTTCCCCAGTTGACACCTTTTTTCGGCCGTGCGGATTCCCATGTCAGCGTGTTACAACGCCAACGGTCCCCAGTAACACACAGAGTGTATAAAAAATCTGAAGAGATTTGACATTGCTTAAAGTTTCTGTTATATATATATTCCTTGAGTGTCCATAATGTAGAATGATGAAAAAAATTGAACGAAACAACAACTTATAATATTGATATATTGCGTCGTTTCTTGAGAACGAAGGAACAACATAGCTATTAAATTAATGTATATTGTGTTGTTTCTTAAGAACAAAGCAACAACATAGGAGCAACAACATAGGAAGCAACAACATATTATATTGATATATTGCGTCGTTTCTTAAGAACGAAGCAACAACATATTATAGTGATATATTGTTGTCGTTTCTTAAGAACGAAGCAACAACATATTATATTGATATATTGTGTCGTTTCTTAAGAACGAAGCAACAACATATTATATATTGATATATTGCGTCGTCTCTTAAGAACGAAGCAAAAACATATTTATGTGAATGACGCATAATAACAGTGGAAGTCAGTTTTAATATAATTAATACAAGGAAGCAATGACATGCATGTAGCTATATATTCAATTAATAATAGGCATGCTGCATGTATTCTTTGGTCGGCAAATTTCCAATGGACATTTCATATGTCCATTGGACATTTCAAATGTCCATTGGATCCAATTGACCATTATATTGGACATTACCCATTATCAATATATCCATGATGCCATCTCCCGGTGGTTACAAAGTCCGGTTTACAGTGCGAACCACGATATTAGTTCAAACGCAAATTTGTCATAAAAATGTATTGAATTGTCTGTAAACTCTACACAGCTGCTCAATTTATCAAATATAACACTATAAAAACTGCGAATCAAGTTTTATTAACGAAAGTACATGTATATAAAAAAGGTTTTATGTATTAGCCTATGTTCTTTTTTACTGTACTGAACCACGATATTAGTTATATTTAAGAAAAAAACTGAGTATTTTGATAAAATACAAAACAATAGATACTCCGAAAATTGAAAGAATTTTGAAAAAAACAACATAAGTTATTGTCTCAAATTGTTATTGATATTTAATTTTTTCAAGCTTTTACAAATTCAAATACAGATATTTAGAAATATACACGTTGAAGAAGTTGCCAAACGTAACAATACAAATCATCATAGAAAAATTTATTTATTAAGAAGGCCCCCGTGTACGTTTGATGTCTTCAAAAAGTCTGTCATTCACTGAATGAGTCAGTTTGTCGATGGAGGACTTAGGGATGGTGGAGGCTGGTTCTTGAAGCATGGTCATCCATTCACAGATCATCTTTTGACGAGTACTGCTTGCCATTCGCATAAACATGACGCTTTATTATTGACCACAAGTTTTCTATTGGGTTTAAATCTGGGGAGTTTGGAGGCCAAACCCTCAGGGTTTCATTTACAAATCCAAGTGAGTGAAGGAATTGCGTTGTTGCCTTTTTTGCATGGGACAGTGCATTTAATAAATAATTTATCGTGTATAAAGATAATCCTTTTCAATGTTGCCAAAGGAAGGTTATCCAACAGGACCATCTAGTGACGCTCTTGACTCGCCCGTAAAAGAACAAACTTCATGTCTGTCTTCATATACTTTCTTCATCATTCCATCCGCAAATGTTTGTGCCTAGGTGTCAATCAATGAAGGCCATTTAATGATTGCCTCGATGGAACCTAGCTTCCCAAGCTTACGATTTCGGGTGGTTTTTGGTACATCTGGCAGACCTGCTTCTTTAAAGATTCTTTTACTTGTTGCTCCTGGCATTTTTGGTAGGCTTCTTCTTAGGCGATACATATCCGGCTTTGACACTGAGTTTCTAACGCCTCGATCAAAAGGAGGTTTCCTCTTTGAAGGATTTTTCAAAAATCATGTCACTTTGACCACGTGGCGATTTTTTCCTTCAGCAATCGATTTGATTGTTTTGCCATTTGCAATTTCTTTTATATTAGTGGCTTTCTCGGCTTCTGTTGAGACTTTCCTACGTTCCATATTGTCGGATGATACTAATACCGTGGACCACTTCTTCTATAGAGGAACCCTGGGATTTTGTAATCACGTGACTAATACGAAAGGTGTTACTACTATAAACAAAAACATTTCACGTGTATTTAAGTTTTTCCCTCTTAATTCGAAGACATAATGCCCAAATCTCATACCTAACTAATATCGTGGTTCGCACTGTACTTCATTGGATCCAAAATTGACAGTCAAATAGACCAATTGCGAAACTTATTAACCGCGCCTTCGCATAACGTGAAAACGAGGCATATTTTACAAAACGCAAAATTCTTTTTTTTTGTTTTGTTCGAAAATCAATGTGTGAGGCGCCAAGTTTTATGGCAGTTTTCTCCCGTTTTATCAAGTTTTTAGTTACTTTTTCAGTATAGTCAAATTAATTACTATCCTACTTGTTTTCGTGGGGTCTTTTTAATCATTTTGATGGCGCAGGCCTGTGGAAATATCATGGAAAACATCGAAGCAAAGTCAGGTAAGCAAACTTTTTTTGCAAAATAATTTGTTATAAAATTAATTTAACATTTTTGTGGACCCCAGTTTGATTTTTTAAAACACGTGCGTCAATTTAAATCTAATATCCGGTTTGAAATCGGCCAATTTCCGGCGAAAATATTTACGTTTTCTGCAACACGTTTGTCAAAAGTCACCATCATTTCACCGCCATTCTTGTTCTGTTTTGAAACTGTTTACATCGCAATTTGTTTTACAAAAAATGGCAATATTTAAATCATGACATAACAAATATAAAAGGAGATTTTACCTGGTGTGATAAGATGAAATGTGTCATGGATTGTTTGGTTTCTTTTCGTTGTTTGTATGCAGACATCAACTGATCGACGACGACGACGACGACGACGACAACAACAACGACGACGACAACAACAACGACGACGACGACAACAACGACAACAACGACAACAACAAACACAACAACAACAAACACAACAACAACAACAACAACAACAACAACAACAACAACAACAACAACAACAACAACAACAACAACAACAACAACAAACACAAACACAAACACAAACACAAACACAAACACAAACACAACAACAACAACAACAAACACAAACACAACAACAAACACAAACACAACAACAAACACAACAACAACAAACACAACAACAACAAACACAACAACAACAAACACAACAACAACAAACACAACAACAACAAACACAACAACAACAACAACAACAACAAACACAACAACAACCACAACAACAACCACAACCACAACAACAACCACAACAACAACAACAACCACAACCACAACAACCACAACCACAACAACCACAACCACAACAACCACAACAACCACAACAACCACAACAATCACAACAACCACAACAACCACAACCACCACAACCACCACAACAACCACCACAACAACCACCACAACAACAACCACAACAACAACAAACACAACAACAACAAACACAACAACAACAAACACAACAACAACAAACACAACAACAACAAACACAACAACAACAAACACAACAACAACAAACACAACAACAACAAACACAACAACAACAAACACAACAACAACAAACACAACAACAACAAACACAACAACAACAAACACAACAACAACCAACACAACAACAACAAACACAACAACAACAAACACAACAACAACAAACACAACAACAACAAACACAACAACAACAAACACAACAACAACAAACACAACAACA